GATTTTATTTACTGCTCATTATTTTTTTTACGGAAGGGTATTATGCGAAATGGAGCCACAATGATGCTGAGATATGAACACCACTTGGAACCTCTGTTGGGCTTTGAACCCACGAACACGCCTTCAGGGACTCACATTTTACCCATTTCACCACTGAGGGTCTGGCTTTGCCTCTCTCTGGATCAGTTCTACCCTAACGGAGTTATCGGCAAACAACTGTCAACGGAATGATCTACTGAGCCAAATCTGTATTAAACCCAGTTAAGCTGAAGGCTACAACGAAAATCACAATGTTGAGCTTCTATTTACTGCCCATAATTTTCTGTATCAGGTTCGAAGTTCACGTAGGGATCCGAGTTTTAACATCTTTGTGGTTGTATTTCACGTCTTGTGACATCTCAGTTATGTTTTCATAAATGGCTTGGTTAGTATGAGCATTTCTATGTGTCGATGTCACATGTCTTATGACTACTGAAAATTGTGTTTGAAATTCTCGCGTTGAACCTCACAGACTTGGCTTATCGAGCGCACTATGAGATATGGTTCTAATTCCTGCCGCCATTAAAACTCCATGTTCCCACGATTCCGTTTCATATACCAGCGGCATCTCATCGGTTCGTTTACAGCCGAAGACTATACTGAAACTCATGCGATGATCGACTAGCATTCATTTTTGCCTGTTTCATATAGCTGCTATGCTTTGGTGGTAAAATTGGGGAAGGTTTGCAATCGACGGGTAAACGGGGAACGTGCTAAATGTCTTGTTAAGCTTATAATTGAAAAATAACATTAATATTAGCAATATTCTTAAGCGTGGTTCACCTTCAAAAGACTGAAAGACAAACAGCTCCCCAGACAAAATTTGTAGTTCTGCTGACGTCAACTATATATTAACAACTGAATCAAGTGTTCCTCCCAGTGTCTTATTTCCTTATACTTAGGCGATTTTTTTGCAGTCTCTCAGCTTGTTTTCTACCCATCGTTGTTTTCCACCAGCAATCATAAGTCAGCGCGATTGCTCTCGGGAGCAGAAATCGGTATTGCCCCCTACTAAGCCGAGGCAGTAGTCAAAATCACAATGTCAACCTTTTGTTTTCTGCCTGTCATAATTTTGCACATTAGTTAAATTTCATTTCATTTTTCACTAGTGTGAAAAATCACGGTGGGAAGAAAACAAAAGGTTGAGTAATTTTCCACATTAGTGAAATTTCCTTTACATAGTACTAAAGTGCTAGTTCGCCCTTAACAAAGGTTTCGGATTGAAATCTCGAACTAATTCGCCTAGATGATTCTATAAGGAAGATAAACTGGTGTCTGCCTCTATTTAGATTACCAAAAATATCAATTGCCCCGATGAAGCCGTGAAATCATGGCTGAACACACTATTTTACTTAAGGAATTGGTTAAGGTGAAATTATCATCGCCAATTCAAGGTGAACTTGAAAAAAAACTCACAAAGTGAGCGGTACTCCAGCGGACAGTTCCCACGAAGGATGTACATTGGGAGCCGAGCTGGTGAGTACAGTGTAGTGGCAGTTCATATGAGCTGGAGACCTAAGGAAAATCGTCACCTTCAGTCATGTGACATCCACATTATTTGTAATTGACTTATGGCTTTAGTAAACTGTAATTGTATGCAGGTTTTCGATTAGATCATGCAGAGCAGCACATTATGACACCACTTTAGCACACACAGTTGCTAGTTCGACATTCCCTTTTGTATATTCTCTGTGAAAGGCACAATACAGTGGTTCCTGAGAAGCTATCAAAAATACGAATTCTTTGGAAAATTCGTTTTCAAAGGAAATAGCTGCTAAACACGTTTTGGCAGGTTAGCATTCGTTTCTAAAGGGTGGAATTTTTCCACCATTTTGCTTGTCAACGTTCGGATGCCATATAATGTCTTCATCGAATTTAGCTAAACCCTTTGCCCATATTACTAACCAACAGTTTTACCAATTATATCAAAAAAAGATTACGATTTCGTTACTAGCGGAGCAGCAATTTTTATTATTGTTAAAAAGGTCGGCTGTGTAGAAATCCCAGGAAAGTAGAAGACAAGGTAGAAAGGTATAAAAAGACCATGCGCGAATTGAGTCGGTGGTAAAGTAGGTCTGATAATTTGCCAATCTACATCAAATGATAATAATTAAGTTAGTTTTGTGATTTTATAAAACTGTGAAGGCACTTGTTAAATTTGTTAAATTGTAGAGCTCGAGCCCTCGGAAAGGGAAATCATGGTTCGATATGGCCCGGGGTCCAAAAGCTTTGCATCGTTGTGGCTGATTTCGCTTATTACCCCGCTGTGAAAATTATAGTAAGCAGTAAATAAAAAGTAAAACATTGTGAAAACAGAATTGTTTTCAAATGAATGCTCAGATTAGACTAACAGAAAACATCTGGAAACAAGATTAATAGCATTTTGTTAATAACCTCAAGTTTCATTAATAACGTTATTGTTGCACTAGATAGAAAAACGAACCTTTTCTGCTCAGGTGTCCATTCTTGCCTTTTCCAGTCTGTCACTTTTTCATCAACTTCTAAAAACTTCTCTAACGCTTCCCAATGAAAACGTCCTTTGCTTGTTGTCGCGCAATTTACCAGGATTGCATTCTTCGAAAGCATCTGAAGTTTAGTTACTATTAAACATCGCACCATCTCTTCAAAAAATGTAACAAACGCGCGATATCTGACTTTCTTCTTGTTCACCAAGAACTGTATTAGCTTATCAACTTATCACCCCTATCTGAACGCCAGGGTTCGTGTGATGCAGTGAGCGGAGGTGCCCTGTAACACACAAGTGGAATCGACCCCTACGCCCATGGCTCACTAAGCTTTCTATCCCTCCGGGGTCGGCAAATTGCTACCAGACTTGTCTGGGGAGGATAGCAGCACTGGCTCCATGCATCGGTAGCCACCGCGAGACATTGGAAAGGCCAGGTATCTAATCACCTCCAACGATACTTAATGAAGTCGAATGCATAGCGCATCCCTCAGAGACTGATCAACGACGACAGCTATTTTAGAGCTATATCTGAACGCCAACTACACGAACATTTCACATGCTTAGAAGTACCACCTTAAAGATGTTTTCGTTTTTTTCCGGGCTAGCATCATCTGGGCAAGCAAACAGACCATTTGCCGGTGCAGACGCGTAGAGTTTACCATCGGAGCCACATCGAATCCATGCTATATCATCACCAAGTAGTTGTACCTGTAACATGAATTCCATACAATGAGTTCACCCAATACTATAAAGCTATTCTATTCTTCTGAATCTTTGCGATTTCAACCCTTTGCGACTTTGTTATTGTTCCACGTTTGTATCCGCACTTTCTCTAGCAATTGAAGTATATTATAGCGTTGGTGAATAGCTTGTTCTACATTTCATTAAAACAGTATTCGCCATCTTGCCACAATACCTGCCACCCTTGCAAAGTAGGAGTCATTGTTGCGATCTCTGTTTTTCCCACTCCTTTAGGAAGCGCTACACATCCGAATACTTCCTTACCAGAGGGATCTAAATCATGCAATAAATTGCAGCTGCTTCTTTGCAGGCTCCCATGGATGAATCTTTAAAGATTCAAACCACTTTATTAACACCATGCACGTTCCTAGTTTTTTTTTTGCAAATTAGTGGAAGAGTTCTTTGTCTGGCTACCTTTGATGGCAATTAGAGCAGCGTTCATTGCCAACCAGCCCTCCTTCCATCCACGATACGATGCTAATCGTAATCCAAGCGATTTCGTGCCAACAAAAGCGTTTTCTCCAAAAGTTGAACCGAAGGACCATATCTCGAAAGAATAAAGAGTTTCACTTCAGCATTTTTCTTGCTTCACATTTCAAGCAAAGGCAAGTTACTTCACGACGAGGAGTGGAAGAGTTTGAAGTTTTATGTCGCTATGTAACTGATAACATGGACAAGACCAACAGGTCTACCATTATCATGAATATCACATTGTGGGCAGACTAATAGCCTCCAAAAATTCTCGTTTTTATCACCAAAAATTCCTATTTTTTTAAAGATTTTTTTTCAGAAAATTTTTGCTTTCGAATTGCCAAGATGAATGGGCTAAAGTGGAGGAAATTTGAAGCTATGCAAAAATAGCTAACTAGTAAAGTATAGTAGATATTGCCTTTCTAAGATAGTTATACTTGAAATTGTTTGGGAAAAGAAATCGCTCCCAAGCGTTTCAAGAAACCTCATTTTCATCAAGACGGTGACAAAGGAAGAAACGTCCAGTATGGCAGATCCACTAAAATGAGATAAATTCAGAATAAAGACATAATCAGACAACAGTCCAAGCCATCTAGTATAAATGTTATGCATCTAAGTAATCCTTCCAACGGTTTATCGCCTCATCACGGCTAGGTGTTCATGGGTGTCGCAGCGTGATGTACAGCGGGGAGATTCTTCCCCCCGAAAGGTCTCCCAAGCTGAGAAGGCGCTCTGCATTTGCATCAGGAAGTACAGCTAAGAGTAAACCAGTACCAGGATCCACCACCGTTCTTGTATCAAACTAGTCGCATAGTGACCAACCTCCCTTTGATCCACAAGGGCTGCGACCGCCTGTGGTGGTGACCACTTGGGGCAGATTTTCGCTAGGCTAACTTTGCGACTTCAGGGAACCACAATGGCTAAAGCAGCAAATCTCCGGAGATTGAAAATTGTGCTGGGGCCCGCACAATCCATGACGGGCCATCCAAGTAGGTTTTTAACTAGTGCGTTTCGAGATCGTTGCCACGAAGCACAGGAATGTCCAACATCAACGAAGCTAAAATAATCCACTACTACGAAAGCTTTCGTGATTCAGCACATTGTCTGTTCGGATTTTTGAAAAAGAATCTCACATTTCGAAGGGAAATGTAGAATCATGATATTCGTCAAGAGATAATACTCATATTGCATCTTAAAGAAAACAAAGGTCTAAAGCAATTTTCAGTAACGGCTTTCATTTAGCCTAGGTATATTAACCTAGTATCCAGTCTTATTGATTAGTTTAAAAGAGATTGTAACAGATCTGGTGCCACAACCCGACTGATGAAAAATGGATTGTCACCAGAAAAAAACAATGGTAGAGAGCGATAGAGTAGAAGCTGTCCTGCATAAAGTAGTTGCACTGGATCAACCTGTAGTGTTTTACTTCATTCGATTTGACTCGATGCGGTGACACCGAAGGCCGACATCGCAAGAAACAAATGCTGTGGACGCTCGACTCCGATCATTGTGACTGTGAAGAAGGTTAGAGCACAGAAAAGATAACGTAACCCTCAAAGACCCTCTCACGTAAGCTTATCAGTAAAGCAGCACAGTGAGTTCGGATTTTGTTTGTACGGTAAAATCCATAGGAAGGATCAGATAATGGAACATTTTTTAACTTATTTCTTCCTTCCTTAAGAAGCCTAATATTAGTTCATCGCCTAGACAGCCATGTTGAAATTTCCTTCAATGTTTTATTAGAATGTTTTTTGGATTCTTACGTTGTACTTGTTCACAACGGTAATGGGGCGGGCCCTTCCCATAGAATGCACGCATCGTACGAAATCCGCGTTACCCATCGCATCCCATATAGATGACGATACTCTGAAACCCTGTAGATTCGCTCTTTGGAGATTGTGAAATAATTCTTACCTTTTAGTAGTATTTTTCCTGTGGTTCTTTAAATTTTTTTCGACGTCCAACTCACCGTGTTAATAATCTCATATTCAACACCACAAAAGGACTATCAGTAAGTTGCACCGCGTTGATCGAATATCGTCCGCCGATGGGTCCCATCGTGAATGGAATCACATACCTGCAGTGTTTTTCTATGATAATATCGTTGAGCAACCATTATAAGAGGTAGAAAAAAATGGGATAGAGCTCTCGACAATGAGCCTGAGGGGTGCATTATGCATCCGATTTCATCAAACATCGTTAGATTTTTCAGACCTCCTTTAATCACTGCAATACACCCGCCTGAAGGATATGAAGTTCATAAAAACGGACTTTCCTTGCATAGTATCGCTATAGATTGATAAGTGGACATGATCACTTACATCACTCTTCCACGCATACATCCCGCGAAACGTGACTGTATTTCCAAGTGACTACGTTTCCACGACATCCAGTGAGTAAATTTGGTACTACGTTCCTGTTTCCTTCTTCAAGAAAGGTATTTTTTGCTTAAGCACAGTTATTTTGAAGTTTCTCACAATTTCATTTAGTGTGTTTTTTTATTTTGAGCGAACATCGACAACAAAGAATGTTGAAATGCCCAATTTCAAAAATCTGTTCTGTCCTCAGGCCGAAACCTAGATAAGTAAGCCCATGTAGCAGAAAAACTAGGTAAGTCTCCTTTCGACTTCAATCTCACTAAAATTAAGTTGTAGTAGCTAAAAGCAACAAAAATGAGGATATTGCCCAAGACAAATAAGCAGTGAGATTAAGATACAGATAATGGAGAAGATTGAGTGACATTCTCGTGTCCGAATACTTATAGTAAAATTGTTGGTAACAAAATATCGCTCGAATGAATAATTTATTTAAATGATATTTTATAATCTCTTTCAAATGGTTCTTTAAGAGGTTAGTGATAATTTGAGTAAGACGGAAACTTCCATTCTATGAGGCAATATTCTTCTTTTTACTTATATCCATATTATTCGGAAAAGGGTAGTTACCAGTTAATGATGCATCCGGTCAGGAAGCAGTGTGCTTGTTCGACCTGTTCACTAATACTCCTCTTCAATCCGCAATGGATCGCCTTAGCTCGGCTATCTCCAAGACTTTAAGAAAAATCAACTTGATCAGATTTCTATGCTATTCGCAGAAAAAGACGAAATCCTCAAGCAGCCGCCGAAACAATGCGCGAAACCTCGAACAGAACTGTGAGCGGTGAATGCGAGAAAAACGAATCAACTGCAAGAAGTGCTGGGATCCACACAGTAGTAATGATGATGAGCCATGGATCAGAAGTAGGTAAAATTCTTATTATTATTCATCCCTTCGTCCACAACCTATTCTATTTTCCACATTATTAAACGAAAAAGAGAAAAGGTCGTAGTGATAAGGAAATGTTTCTCAAAAAGAAATCCTCGAAGTTGCAACATCATCCATTCTCCGTTGTCGCTTTTTATAAAGGAGATCAAACAAATTTTATACGGATAACAAAGCCTACTTCTTTTGTACTTCTTCTGAACTCTTCCTGACGACAAACGTTCTGCGTTCCATCGCGTCACGAGGATCGGTGCGAGCGACAAAGATGTTCTCATAAGCACTCAATCGCTCCAACATACCTGTGTGCTCTAGCTGTTTTTACCTTATACCTTCTCTTGTATTACACTATTACATAAAAATAGGATAAAAAAGTGGCCTGTGAAGGCATATTATATGGGGGACTGTAAGGACCTAAGAAGAATCCCCAAGCAGTCACTTGTGCGTTCACCTTTTCGTTCCAGTACGCTTGTCAGGTAATCAGCTTCACTCCACGAGCCGTTGCAAATGTGAATTTCTGCTGGTTTCATAAGTTTCACTTGTGCAGCAATAAATGCCTAGAATGCTAGATTACGAGTTTTAACAAATACCACAAAATACTGGTAGACAATTAAATGAGAGTAGTGGTTTCCTACTCTCATGAATTAGCACTCGTACTTCAACTCGTGTCGGTAACCATTTTGGATCACCGTTTGTCACTGGCACAGAGCCGTATCCTTCAACGATAAAGTCCGTTTTGTACACATAAGGCGAGGCACTAGTTCTGATTTTCTGACATGCGCTGGATGCTTCAAATGGATGTGCTAAAATGAGAAAATGAGAACCACTTTCCACTTTTTTTTATTGAGGTTGCGCTAAGTCACATTCGCACTCGTAATCATGAGGAAGAGGTAATGAATTGTAAAACGGGAACAATTTTCAGGTGCCTGAGCGAAGAAGGCAAAAGAGGGTGCCTAAAGAGTGAAAATAGGGTAAAAAGAAGATAATGATCATATTCTTAACTCTTTTATTTATTGGCTTTTTCTTTTTAATGGCAGGTTATGTTGCGAAATATAACTCGTATGAAATACTGAGATATTTGCAAAACTCCGGACCACAGGTGTATGCAGTGGAGAACGAACACGCGTTGTTGTCCTTACCGGGGATCAGCGCACTTCACCACTACACCATCCCGGGTCCTTCGCTTTGCATGTCTCTCAGCTAGCATTGTAAAAATGACCATATTGTTTTGCTTTTGTAATCTCATTCATTACGTCTCGTAAATCAATGTTCTGATCAATGCTGTGCAGTAAGTAGTCGTTGCTATGTAAGAAGTCCAACATTTTCACTAAACCGGCCATTTTCACGCGGCTAGCCCTTCGCACGGTGTCAATGGAGTGCAATAGAGATCGAGGAATCATCCATGTGTTGCTCGCCCATGTATTACTCTTTGTTGCTGCTTTCCACTAATTAATTGGAATACTTGAAGGAAATAAAATTACTCTGAAAAATGTGAGGCCGCTGAAACGTCAGCTATTGTATGCTAAGCAATTCTACAATATCAACCTCGTGTTTGCTTATCGAAGAGGAACAGTGAATTATTTCCCCTTATCAAATTTAATTTATATTCATAAATCGTGTCGGTTCAATTAATAGAATCCGCAGTGAATTAAGAGGCGCGTTTGCCTGGTACTGTAAAATAATATACTCACAAAATGAACAAATTAAGACGCATAATTGGTGCCTTCAGACCGATGAATTCCCTTACCGCAGTAGTCACAACTCGTTGCCCGATCTCGTTGCTGTTCTCTGGACGAAACTGCGAGTGCCATGGTCACATCAGACAGTTACTAGTAACCAGTAATGAACAATGTACAATTGAAATTAACCTTCATTTCTTAACAACAACCGTTATACTTAGTATCATTTGAGCGAAATCATTTCGTTGTAAATGATAACAACTGTTTGTTGCTGAAAGTAACCATGAAGCCACTTTCGAATAGATAATGTTCAGAGCCGTTGTTGACTTCTGGTTGACGTCCCAATTTAGAACTTTAATTCAATGAAATCGATACACATCCACACTTCGTTTGCATTTTTTTGTCACCTTTCTGGAGACTTTTGTACATGGTGGGACGTGGGTAGGTCTACTGTTGCATTCAGGTGCAATATCTTTTTTGCGCGATGGTCTTATTTCTGGTGCCTACAGCTATTGCTACTCACTTTTACTGAAATGCTAGTCGAAGAATTGCTCAACGAGTTCTGATCTGGCATAGTCTTAAAGTTGTCTCCTTTCCGCTCTGAAGGTCGAGAAGACTTTTTGAAATTTACAGGCTCAACGTTTGCTGCTTTGTTATTTCCTTGACATTAAGAAATTCATTGAGATGAAATCGGAAGCAATCTCAAAATGGCAGACTATGCCTAAACAAAAAGTGTCCTTCTTGCAGAAGAAAGCAGGGATAATATTACCGTTGCGTGATTGTCTGGCCGTATTGTTGCCGTTTAACTATCTTCAATGTTAAAGTTTAACTGCCTATGTTTGAGGAGCAAATAAGGGTCAGCAGGGTAGACCAGACGAAAAATGGCATCTATCGGACTGCCGTAACCAATACATGTGGTATCACCTGCACACTTCAGAGGTTCAACAAGCTATTTCGTATCTTTTGAAAATGTGCAGCATCCGGTCAAGACGGGATTATACCTGCCCACCTGAAAAATCTTTTATCAGTCTTCACATATATACCGTTCCCAATCGACAGAAGGACCAATAAGACTGCGATTTTGCTCTAGAAAGAAACCTCTACGATTTGGACAACTATCGGCTAGTCTGGTTACTGTGTGCCTTCCCTATACACTTCACCTAAGTCATCCTTTGCGGAACTAGCAGAACATTGGGTTCTAACAGCCGTCGATAAGCGACCAAACAACTGCTCTCCTTCTGTTACGAGACTTTGCTGCTTTTTTTGCTAAATATTCTTATACCGGGAAATCTCGTAGTCCACCTCACTTTTTCTCTACTTTTTTAACATCGCGAATCATTGAGCCTCTGAGATAAGATAAGGGAGCACTTTAGAGCGCCTTTTTTAAATAGGTAGAATGAAAGTATCCTGCTTGAATCAAGGTGAAAGGCAGACTAATGTGATCTCGAATCTATTCTCTTTCTCTTCAACAGGTGTTTCATGTAAATATGGTTCCGATAGCACTTACCACGACTGTTAGACTCTATTTTTACTAATAATGGTAAAATACACTGCACAGCGCTGCGCAATGGCAGGATGTGCTCTGTACTACTTGCGGTCATTGATTCCACTCTGCGCCCTAGGCTTTCAAAAGTTGGGATACCTGTCCTTGAGTGATACCGCATTAAACGATTTAGACCCGGAGACCGTCATGTTGAATGTTTAAGTATATGGCGTTAATCTGAGCAACAGGACAAGTAAATGTTTAGTGTTATGCACTGTTTTGCAATGTGATTGTCCCACGTTGAGAGCTCAGCAACCTATACCTGGGTATCAAAAGGCTTAACACAGTAAAAGAAGCGGGTCTCATTTCCCTGACCTCAAAAGAGCCCCTAATTTCACAGCGTTGGGCAGCACGAGTACGGACAGGCTGCTAAAATCTCAGTGCGAATGGAATAGCCTGGATTTCAAAGAACTATGTTGACGATCTGTACCTACAATGCACGTACACTTGCATGCGAGCCCTCGACAGAAGACTTGATCTTGCAAGCAAGAAGGATAAGCTACGAGTTCATCGGCCTAACCGAGACGCGACGACGCCATCCATTTAACCCCGTCTATGACCCCAGAGAAAAACTGTTCCTCGAAACATGCGGCAGCTGAGGAGTCGCCGGCGTCGGCGTTCTCATCAACACGAGTTGGTCCATAAACATTCGAACAACTGACAATCCGAATTGGGCGATAACGATTAAGAAGGTGTGGATCAATACCGGCTTTGGCAATCTTCGCATTTCATGCTTTAGCATCAAGATATGACGAAGAAGAAGTTGAAAAGTTCAATATAGATTTCGATACGTTCTACAGAGAAGACCACATATTCCTTGAGGTCATCATTGGAGATTTCAACGCCAAGATTAGACCAAGATGAACGTCTGATGAATGTTACATTGGGACGTACAGATTAGACAGGAACGAACAGTTTGAGCTGCTATCGAAGTTCATCATAACCACCAAGCACATTAATGGTAACTCGCAATTCCAGAAGTCCCACCACCGACGCCAGACAT